ACAGAGCAGACCCAGAAGGCGGCCTTGGCTGCTTAGACCCCAGGAGAAAAATGGGAAACCGATTCAGATGTCAAACCCAGCGAGTGACCCTCTTGGGATCTGAGGGTGACCAGGGGAGAGCTGCTGGGAGAAACAGGTAGAGTTGGGAGTATGGACTGAATGAGAGCTGCGTGGAAACTACAAGATGCACATGGGGACATCTTATTTAGGGTCTCTACCACTGTGAAGAGACACCATGACCACGGCAACTCTTACAAGGAAAAACATTGAATCGAGGTGGCAGCTTACAGTTTCAGAGGTTCAGTCCATTATCATCATGGCGGGACATGGCAGCATGCAGGCAGACGTGGTATCGGCTACCTCTTGATCTGCAGGCAACAGGAAGTGAACTGTGACACTGGGAGTAGCTTGATCATAGGAGAACTCAAAGCCCACCCCCTTCAGTGACACACTTCCTCCAACAAGGCCACACCTCCTAATAGTGCCACTCCCTTTGGGAGCCATTTTCTTTCAAGCCATGGGGGTGGGGCACGGTAAGGAGGTTGATTATGCAAGTGGCCCAGTGACCTCCCCAGTGTGGGTAGAAAAATTTTGGCAAACTCACCTTTAGCAACTTTAGTACTTTAGCAAGCCCAGTTGCTCCACAAGTCCGTTATTGCTGCAGACTCAGGGCCTGGGAGAGACTGTTTTTGTGGGGTAGTCTAACTCACCCAAATTCCATCAAAAAGGGGGTTTTGTGAAAGAGATAAAGGATGAATACAATAAAAGAGCAGAGTTCATAGCTACTGTGGCCACCAAACATGTGCTGTCTGGGTCTGATGGTTTCTTATCTGCCTCCCTCAGCCATGGCGTGGGTCTCTGCACGACAGTTTCATCCTCCAGCAGGTCCCCTACTGGTCCTTCCTAAATGTTGTATGTGTCGTTTGCTTATCTCAGGTTCTGCTGCTTTTCCTCAATGCCCAGTCTTTCAAACAATACCTGGTCAGCCTATTTCTTTCTCCAGTTGTTCTCAAAGTTCTCCCCTCCATTTCCCATGGCAGGCCCACAAGTGTGAGTGACTTACTATCAACGTTGGAAACCTGCAAGCTATTTACTTAAGGAGTTGGGAAAACCGCCCCCAGGGAGCCCACAATCCCCCCCCCCAGGGGCCTGCCAGAGTGCAGGGTATAAAGGGATAGTCCACTAGGAAAGGCCAGGAGAATGGCTCCCTAGGACATCAGGGTCTCAGAAACCCAGCCATTTGTTTGGACGGATTACCTAGTGAATTACTATCCTTCATGAAATAAAAGTGGCCTAGAAGAAAGAAGGTAAGCAGGCTGACTGCAGAGAGAATATGGGTGTGGGGTATGGGCTGGGGGAAGGCTTTCTCACTAAGGAGGCTGATGAGCTGGCTGCCCATGGCTTTCCTGTTCTGGGGAAGGCCCCTTCCTGCAGGCCTGCTGCTGATGTCTAGCTGGCTGTGAGCATGCAGCACTGGCTGCCCGCCTTCACCACAGTGCCTCTGGCTGACTTCTGGTGTTTTGTTGACATTAATTATACACAGCAGCAAAGTGGCCAAGGCCTCCAGCAACTCTTTTTTGATATCACCTGTTGCCTTTACTGTTTGCTGTGCGCTGCCCTGAATTTTTACGAGGCCTTGATATTTCCAGCCCTGCAAATGGCAAGGTTGGCTTCAGTCTTCTGTTAGTTTCCATTCACCTCTGTCTCCTCTGGGCACGGCCCTTGCTTTTCTTGGTCTCAAAGGCTTTTTTTTTTTCCTCCCTATTTCCACCTGGACACTTCTCTGTGATTTGACCACCCCTCCCCTGCCTTTCATGGCTTTCTGACTTCTCCTTGCCTATTCTTACTCAGGCACTGGTCCCTGGATCTAGCATCAAGGATCTTATCTGAGATGGAAGCTGAGCTAGTTGTGAGCACAAGAAAGGCTAATCCAGACTCCTGGTACCCACCGCATACTCATTTCTACTAGTGTGGTTGTGGTGTGGAGGAGAGAGCACCATGGGAGAGATGCCACGCCTCTCTACACAGTGGCCTTGGAGGTTGACCATCTCCGCTGTGCAAACACCTGGGCAATTTGGAAAGTCTTTGACCCAGCAATTTGACCTCCCCGACTGTGGCTTAAGGAATTAATTATGGGTTTTCCCAGTACACGCACAACATACAAATACATATGCGCGCGCGCGTGCGCGCGCGCACACACACACATACACACATACATATATTTGCAAAAAAAAAAAAATTCCCCACCCTAAAATTAAACAGACCCAAAGTCTGAACATCTCAATGAACTTCAGAGCTTCACATTAGATTTTAAGTTTTCAGTATCAAATATATTTTGTGCACGTATTCCTCCGCTACAAAAATGGAAAAGTGCATGAGAGAATTGAAGCTATAAAAACAGTTAGCTTTTCATCCTCTTTCGTGGCTTGTGCCTGTGCCCACATTCAGTCTTTCCTGTTATCTAATTGGTCCCTGTTCTCCTGTCTGTGTGCTATACTGTGCTCACAAGTACATTTGTTTACATATAAACATATATTGTTGGTTCAGTTCCACATGTGAAGGAGGACGTGTGTTGTTGTTTTTTTCTTTCTTAGGTTATGTGATCTTGTTTGATGTTATTCATTCCAAGCATTCCAAGTTCTTCCATTTTCCTTCAGATTTTGTGATTTCACACACACCCACATGCACACACACATACACACACACACACACACCCACACGCACACACACACACACACACACACACACACACACACACACACACACACGCACGCACACCCACTCCAAATTTTCATTATCTGTTCATCTGTTGATAGGCAAATAGGTTGGTTCCAATAGTTTGCGAGAGGGAATAAAACAGCAATAAAAATGATGTGCAAACATCTCTGCGGTAAGGGAAGGAAGTTCTCTGGGTATGTGCCCAGCAGTGCAATAGCTGGGTCACGTGGTAGTTCTATTTCTATTTTTCTTGAGAAATATTCAGACTGATTTCCACAATGGCTGTATTAATTTGTGCTCCCACCAGCGGTGAATAAGGATTCCGTTCTCTCCACATCCTCTTCAACGTTTGTAGTCAGATTTGTTGATGACAGGCGTTCTGACCGGGTATCAGAACATATTAGATAGTATCTCAGAGTAGTTTTAATTCCTAGTTCCCTGATGGCTGGGAATACTGAAGACTTAGAAAAATACTTATTGGCCATTTGTGTCTCTTTCTTTTTTCTTTTCCCTTTTTGAAAGCCAGCTATTCAGTTTCTTTGCCCATTTGTTAATTTCCTTGGGTTTCAGTTTATGCAATTCTTTGTAACTCAGGATGCCAGCCCCTTGTCTGCCGTGTCATTGGCAGAGATTTTCTCCTACTCTGTGGGCTGTGTGTATGCTCTGCTGGTGTCTTCCTTTGCTTCGCAGAAACTTTTTATTTTCACGGAGTCCCATCTGTTAATAGGTGGGGTTAGTGCCTGTGCTATTCGCATTCTATTTAAAAATGTTCTCACCTGCCCCCACGGAGAGCATTCCCTAGGCTTCCTTCTAGAAATCGAGGTGTTTCAGGTGGTAAATGAAGGCCTTGAATCCATTTTGAACTGATTTTTGTATCCGGTGGAGATATGGATCTAATTTCAGCTTCTGCAGGTAGAAATCCAGCTTTGCAGCACAGCTTGTTGAACAGGCTATCTCTGTCTTCCCCTCCCCCAGGCTGTCTCAGTCGACGTCCCCGTCCCCGTTCTCCCTCCCCCCCCCACCGCCCCCGAACCCCATGGTATGTTTTTACCTCCACTGTCAAGACTTAGGTTAAATATCTTGGCATTTATTCCTGCGTCCTCTGCTCTATTCCATCTATCTTCCTGTGGATTTCGATGCCACCCCAGGCCGTGTTCATCATTAGCGTACTGGAGTGTGTAAGTCGAGGCCAGGTACTATGGTCCCTCCAGCTGTACTCTTACTCTTCAGGACTGCTTTGGCTATTCATGGTCTTTTGTGGTTTCATACAAATCCTTGAACTGTTCTTTTTCCCAAACTTGTGAAATATGACATGAGAATTTTGATAGGTATTGCATTGGATCTGTTTTTGTTGTAGAGGTAGGTCATTTGCTTTCTTGTTTTTCTGTATTTCTAAATATTTATTTTTTTGGAGGGGGATACAGTTTCAAATACTGTATGTGATTAGCACAAAAACAATTCATGGGGACTTAAATGCCGAGCCTTTGAGGGTCATGTAGAATTTATAGTCCAACTATGTAGGGTACTGCATGTAGATCATAGGGAACCCAGGGGCACATGCATGTTATGTAGCCATTAAATGACAGTGCAGAACACTGGGGCGACATTAAGCCACACCTCACCCTTCTCCATCTTTATAAAAAAAATCTGGCTAACAAGAAAGACAATACGAGAATCAGAAAGGATATGCCTATCATGGGTAGTTTTCTTGGGTAGAGCAAGACGGAGTAACTTTTTCCTTTCACTTAAATTTTATTTTATTTTTTCACTTAAATTTTATTTTATTTTTTAAATGTATAAATGGAAGCTAAATTTCTTTGGCACAAGAATGCAGTTAATTCACTCTGTTCAGATGTAATCTATGGATCGAAAATTCAGACCCAGTTAGAAGTGCTTCCAGAATGAATGAGAAGTTTCACATTTGTAAGAGCAGAAAGGGCAGGCTCTGGGTTGACGAGATCAACAAAACCGCAGGCTTTGTCTGAACACAGGACCGGGTTGGAAGATGTCTTACCGTGCCTTTCTCCCTGAGTAGCGTCAGGCTTCAGTGGCTCTAGTAACGTTTGCTTTACTTAACTTGTTACTCAGACTGGGCAAAAACAGATGGACATGGGTGAACAGACGGCCAACTTAGGTCTTTTGGAAGAGTGTTGTACTCTGGAAGGGCTCAGAAGTGGGGCAGGGGGGAGGCGGTGAGGGTGGCGGGGAAGAGTGCTCACTCACATGCTTGTATTGACGCCTGTGCCTCTGAGCCCAGCTTGCGTTCTCACTTTTCCCTGCAGGCAGGGGTAGAGCCAACTGTGCCAACCACAGCAGCCAGCCACCCGGAGAGAAGCAATCAGTGCCCCAGAAGTCAACTGAAATGAACCGGCCCCCTTGAGCCCCTCCCAAAGGCCTGGTACCCGCTTTCCATCTCAATGCTGAGGTAAGAACCTTTAAATCAAGTTGGTGGGAGAGAGCAGGATGCCTCTTTGGGCAATTCTCTAAGGCTCAGGGAAGAAGGAACAGGTGTTTTCAGTCCCAACTTCTGCCTCCATCTCAGTTCATATGGAGGCAAAGTCATTGGAGGCCAAAGAAGCCTTGTTCGTGCAGAACTTCCAGAGTCTTTCCATGTTCTCCATTGCTAAGGAAATTTGAACCCCGAAGAGAATGAACTTCTCCCCAAAGGTTACACCAGTTTCAGATGGATGCTTTTGTGCTCTGTTCTGCACGGGAAAGCAAGCTCCCAGGAAACATATGCACACACACACACACACACACACACACACACACACACACACACACCAGTCTAAGAGACATATATGGAGATGACAGAAATTATGCAGGCAGGTTATGGCAAAGCATTCCGCTAGGCTTAACGAAAATGATTTTAATAAACTTAGATGTGTTCCGATTATAAAGGTAATAAGTACTCCTATAACATTTGGAAGAAAATAAAGCAGGGTCTAAAAATAGCTCTCTATAGAGTTTCTCTTAGGCTCCCATGGGTTACTGGTCCCTTCTGCCTGGAGGTGGAAGGATGACCCCATGAGGGGCCAAGGAGAACTCTCGTCTAGTCTAGCATCTCTCCAGAGTTGGTTCTAAGCATCCAGGAATTGTACAAACTGGTTGTTAAAATGTGGTGGCACACGCCCTTGATCCCAGCGCTCAGGAGGCAGAGGCAGGCAGATCTCTGAGTTCAAGGCCAGCCTGGTCTACAGAGTGAGTTCCAGAACAGCCAGAGCTACACAGAGAGACCCTGTCTTGGAAAAACAAAACAAAAACAATTGTTAAAAACAAAACAAAACAAAGCACTAACCTCCCCCGTCAAAAGAACTCCAGGGGGGAAAAAAAAAGACAAAACGATACAAAACAGTTAGCAGCTTAAAATTGACTATTGTGGGAAAGTGACCAATTGCCCTGGAAACTGGAGAAGCTACCAAAGCAGACTTTCTAGGACTTTTTTCTTGTGCTGGCGCTCGGGATCAAAGCCGGGGCCTTGAGCATGTGAGGGAAGTGCTGGACCACTGACTCTGAGTCGCCTCCCCTATGAACAGTAGGCGTTCAGTATGCAGGATCCGATCCGTGAGAATAAGAGAGTGTGGTTTGTGGTCTGTTCCCAGTACCTCATGGGTAGCTATGATGAGGGGCCCACTACATAAGGGCAGTGAGAATGTCTGATGTGGGGAGGCTCCTTGGCTGCGGGGAGGAGGTTGGGCCACCCGGAAACCTTTGGTTTATTGATGGAGAGAAACTGGCTGCATTTCTCCCTCTCTCTGACTGACATCTTGGGGGGTTCTGAATTATTGATACCCTTTCATAAAGGCGGATGAGAGACCTCCATTTATTGTCCAACATCTGGGGTGCATTTTCTTCCTGGAAAAGTTGAGGGGCTGGCCAGGGAAGTGGGGAAAGGAAGCCTTAGGGACACTAGATGTGAAGGCCAGGACCCGGTCGGAGCTTTTGACTCTCTGAGGGAGAGGGCCAGTGATTTCCTGCCAAACAAGAGACTTCAACAAAAGCCCCTTTCTTCAAGGCCCCACTGTCAGGAGATCAGAGCTAAGTAAATTAGCATAATGAAGTCTTGGCCTCTGCCCTTCTTCTTTCTGAGTCTTCTGGCTCCGACTTTGCACGTCTTACACGTTCCCTGAAAGAGGGTTTAGGGACAGGGTGAGACATCTGTGACATTCCAGTTTCCTTCTGTGGTTCAGGAAATGAGAAAGGTAGGAAGGGTCCTCAGCAGGCGCCTGGGCTCTCCCTCCCCCTCATCCTAAGAATCCAGGCCACCTAGCCGCGGCTGGGGGTGAAGCTATGGGATCCTGGGGAGGAAGAAGCTAGGCTGGGAGGCAGGCCTGGTCTGTCCGACCCTGAGCTGTTGGTGTACTTAACCAGCAAAGGGAACATGACTGTTGCTTCCGGCTGCCAGCCTTGCCTCTGCCCTTCCCAGGCCTTTCCCTGCATAACGGCCAAAGCCCCAGTACCCTTCAGAAGCAGCCTGTAGTTTTCTTGGCTATAAGCCTCCTTCCTCATCAGGGACTTGGTTTTCCTTCTCAATGATGATGCCGGCGAAGGCCTGACTCTTAAGAACCTCGAGGAATCTTTGTGAGGTAAGAAAGGGCAGGCCGCGGATGGAGGCCCCATGCTCTGTGCTTTGCCTGCATGCTCTCTGAACTCTGCACCCCAGGGAGTGTGTCTGCACCCATGTCTCAGATATGGAAACTACAGCTCGGATGCAATTAAGCTGCTCTCAGAGCTGCCAAGTGCCCTTCCCAGCAAGTGGTCATCCAGGCAGGGGTTCCCAGCCCAGCTTCAACAAGCATTTCCTCCCCTAAGGGAGTATCACTCCACCTCTGAGTTGCAGTGAACAGGCGCAGTGGAGTTCGCAAATCTCTGAACTGATCTGCTAAATCCCAGAGGTTTGCTCTTTCTTGTAGCGTGAGGGAACATCAGATCCGGGAGCCTGTGCTTCTTGCAGCTCCCACTCGATGCTCCAGGAAGTGGGCCTGCTGTAGCTGTCCCAGCCCTCCCAGCTGCCTAGAAACAGGGTTTCTGTGTGTCCGTTCGTCATCCCCCCCCCCCCACCCGCCCAAGTTCTCAGATTTCTTTACAAGGGCCATAGTATGATGGATATACTTCATTTTCCTCTGTGGTTGAGGGTAGGGTCCACATGTGAGAGAAAACGTAAGACATTTGTCTTTCCGAATCTGGCTTCCTTAGCTCACCACAATGATTTCCAGTTCCGTCTATTTTTCAAGTGTCATGATTTCATTTCTCTTTATGGCTGTGTAAAATTCTGTTCTGTAGAGAGACTTGCCTTTTCTTTATCTTTTCCTCAGCTGATGGGCATCTACCTGGTCCCCTTTCCTTAGCGTTGTGAATGGTGCTGCTACAAACACAGATATGTAAGGCGTTTTTCTCTGATGTGTTGACTGAACCCTTCAGGAATGTACCCAAGAGTGGTAAGGCTGACTCTACAGTAGTTCTGTGTCGATTTGCTGAGAAACCTCCACAGGGAGTCAACAGTGGCCAGACTAGTGTACGTGCTCATCAGCAGTGAATAAAATGGTTCCTTTTCCCCACATCTTCACCAAAATTTGTTGTTGTTGATTTTCTTGACTGTGGTGAGATGGAATCTCAAACTAGTTTTAATTTGCATTTCCCTGGTAGCTAAGGACATTGGACATTTTAGGATATATGTATTGCCATATATTTGCATTTGTTCTTATGGGGACTGTCTGTTCAGTTCAGTGACACATTCATTGATTGTGTGTGGGAGTGTGTGTGTGTGTGTCTCTAATTTTTACAGTTCTTTATGTTTCCTGGATAGACATCCCTTGCCTGAGGTACACTTGGCAAAGACTTCTTCCCATTCTGTAGGCTGTCTGTTCATTCCAGTGGTTGTTCTCTTTGTTATATGGAAGCGTCTTGATTTCATTTCAACCCTCAGGATTATTCCTTGTGCTATTGGAGTCCTGTTCAGAAAAAAAAATCTCAGGCAAGAAGACTTTGATCTAGTTTCATAGATATTTACTACGTGGCAGCCAAACGGCCCAGTTGGCTTGGGAGGAAATTCTTGCCCAGCCTTGGGCACAGGGATTTGACAAAGACAAGGGAGGAACTTCCTTGAGGCAAGACCCTATGGGACATAGGCTCTCCTTCCTCCTGGAGCCATGCGCCTCCAGCTTGTCTTTCCCTGACTCTAAAGGCAGAAACTACATCTGGAGCCACTGTGCCTCCCAGGGTGCCCTGACCCCTAACCTCAGTTTGAAGTGTTCAGTCTATGACTAGCCCACTAAGCAACACATGGAGAGCTGGCTAGTTTTATGTCAACTTGACACAAGCTAGTCATTTAGAAGAGGGGACATCAAGTGAGAAAACACCCCTACTAGATTAGTCTATGGGCAAGCCTGGCATGCATTTTCTTGAGAGGTGATTGATATGGAAGGACCTGGCTCACTGAGGGTGGTGCCAACCCTGGGCTGGTGGTCCTGGTTCTATAAGAAAGCAGGCTGAGCAAGCCATGTGGAGCAAGCCAGTAAGCAGCACTCCTCCATGGCCTGCACGTCGGCTCCAGATTCCTGCCTTGAGATCCTGCGTTGGTTCCTCTGATGATGGACTATGAAAGTGTAAGTGAAGGAAACCCTTTCCTCCTCAAGTTGCTTTTGGTCGTGGTGTTCTACAACAGCAATAGAAACCCTAACTAGGACACGGAGGCCAGCGGGCTAACTGAGGGAGGAGGCAGAGTGGCCAGGGGCTGTCTAGAAAGTCCCTGCCAGATGGAGAAGGGTGCTCTGCTCTGAGCTGGGGCTGGTGGGGACCAGGGGTTGCAGTTTCACAGAGAATCAAGACTCCTTTTGACTGTGACACCCATGCAATTTGAGAAGGAGGAAAAGCTAGGCTCTGCAGGACACCCAGAGAACATAAAATGGGGTTGAAAGAGTTCCTTCACCTCCCTCCTTGGCAGAAGTAGAGGCCCAGAGAGAGGAAGGCCTGGTTCACTCCTCAAGTGGAGCTGGGATCTGGTCTCCGGACTGACCAGGGTCTGTGTCCCCAAACCCTTCTGGCCACACAGAATGCTGCTCTGGAGGCTGGCACAACCACCTTTCAGTCGCAGTCTGCAGTCGGCTTTGCTGCTAGAGGCATTCATAGCAGTGACAACCCGGGACGGGGAGGTGGCACCTCAGTTACCAGAGGTCTCTGCCATTCCTCCCTCCCAGTCTTTAGTGTATGCTTTTGCTAGGATCTACCACCTCAGCCTTCAGGCCAGAAGTTTGCCGTTGAGCTCTCACGGAGATCTGCTCAGCTTTGGAGGGGTTTGATGCTAGAGCCTGACTTGATGACAGCTGTAGTCCCCCACCTCTCCCCCACCTTCCCCCCACTCCCACGCGCCCCCCCCCATGGGCCCTGGAGGCTTCCTGATCCAGCTTCCTCCTGTATCAGATACTT